GTGTTTCCCCCAGGTGGAAGCGGTGAAGCAAGCAGACAGGGCTGCACCACACAGAGCTGCAGCTTCTGCCCCTTCCCTCTCTGCACAGGAGGTATTCACTCACACTTCGAGCTGTTCTTACCACCTGCCTGTTTAACACTTCCTCCTGCCACAGCAGGAAGGATGCCCACAGGTTAGCTCCAGTTGAAGGGCAGCAGCGTGCTTCTTGTAGGGACGGGCAGCTTTACACACAACTAATTCTCCCCTTGGTCCTCCAGAAGATGAACATCATAAGCAGTGCGTTTCACCACAGGAAAAAAAAAAAAGCCAACTTTTATAACAGAATGGCCTGGGTTGAAAAGGACCACAATGATCACTGAGTTCCAACCCCCTGCTGTGTGCAGGTCGCCAACCAGCAGCCCAGGCTGCCCAGAGCCACATCCAGCCTGGCCTCGAATGCCTGCAGGGATGGGGCACCCACAGCCTCCTTGGGCAACCTGTTATGATGCCATAGAAACCCCACGTGCTCCTAGGAACCGCAGTTCCCATTCACACAAAGACATTCCAACTACAATTTGAACTAATAGTGAAAGCAGTCCAGCTGACAAAGACAAGCTAGAAGAGTCACAAAAGAATTTCAGAACCTGTTGAAAGTTACAACAGGAAGAATCACAGAAAGCTTTCAGATTTATGTCTGTTCCTCTGGTAGGCTACAACTCATCACCTTCATTCACAGGCTTAATAACCCATTAAGTGCAGAAGGTCTGTAGGAACTGGGGGCACAGAGGTGATCAGGACAGGCCAGCAGGATGGCAGCTGACCTTCTGTAAACGGTAACTGGGTTTCAGACGGCATCAGCAGGCATTGCAGGCACATGCTTTTCAAGCAGTTCTCACCACAACAACCTAAAGCTTTTGACAAGTGTTTGTTACAAACAGATTATTGTTGCCACAGCGATTACAGACATCCCACAAAGAGCTGACAAAGGAACCCTGCTCCTGGTACAAACTCAGGAGCAGGACCCACACCAGCACCCCAATCCTGTCATTCCTCAGCCAGTAAGTCAAGCTTCAGAGTCTCCCTCTCTGGCCGCCAGGAAGAGAAATAGCATTGCTCTGGATATTGCTCCTAGGCTGATACAAATACAACACTCACACTCACCCTACCCCAAAGCAGCCTTTATATCCCAGGACTTCAGAGCTGGGCTGAGCCACAGGAAAGCACATGCCTACAGCCTGACCCTCCCTGCTGCTGCACAAAGCCCTGCAGAAACAGACACAGCCCAGCTGCAGCATTGCTGGAAAGCAGAGACCACCAACTCTGGGTGCTCAACAACACAACAGTCAAAGCAGGGCTTTCCTTTCCATGGAAGCAGAACCAAAGCGTGAGCAGACACGGTGACTCAAGGGCAGAACATAGTAGCTGAAGGAAGCAGCTTCCTACCTACACTCTAACTATACGGTTTGTGTGCTATGTATCCCCACACACAGCCACTTGCAGCTCCCACCAGCACTTCAAAGTTTTCAACAGTGCAACCTAACTTACAGCAGTTCCCAAAATCCAGCACTGCCAGGAAAGAAGGCACAGGTACCTCCCTGTGTGCCTGAACGTAATTTCTGCTGGACTGATTAAGGAAGCTATGAATGCTATGCAAGGCAGGCTTTATTTTTAGATGTGCGTATTCTTAGTGGGAATAAATCTCCCTACCCTGGCCTCAAGAATTCAAGCAGCTTTGAGTCCCTGTGACAAACCTCCCTCCTGGACAGGTCCAGAACAATCAGGCCTAAGCCAGAAAGAGTTTACCAAGGCATTGCATCTGCTGACAAAACTGCTACCTGCAGTTACAGGGCCTACCATACAGTAAGTGGATTAGCTCTCAGACACGGCACTGGGGAGCTCTTAGAACACTGCCATTCTGTATTCTGCAACAGAGCAAACTTTTAAGAGGCAGAAAATATTTGCTGAAACCTACAGTGCTACGTTGCCTGAGCGCTCCTTGAGGAAACAGAGGGGTCAGCAACCCAACATCTGGCAGGGGAGAAGCTTCAGTTGATTCTCTTCAATGCTGCAGAGTTCTGCTGGGTTACAACAACATAAACGGGATACAATTGTAGGCTAGAATCCAAACGCACATGATTGAGAGGGCTAATATGTAACCAGTAGTCAGGTGTGGCCAAAACACTTCAACAAGTTCGAACACTCCCTACTAACCAGAAGCAGATCAGGAGGAGAAACAAATTTCGCTGCTGAGGATGACAAAACAAACCTCAAGTCCTCAGTACACATTTAGCAGAAAAACAACTCCAAAATTACTTTAAGCCAAACTTTGGGGTTTTTTTTTCTTAATATTTTTGCAGAACTAAGAAACTACTCCCACTGAGCTTCAAGGGCTGCAAAGGCTTTAAGTACTGCAGGTAGAGGATAAAACAACTCAAGTGACAACGGCAGCACACGTTCAGGGATCTCAATGATGAGGTTCTCAACTCCTGCCAGAAAGCATCACACAAATAAATCATACAATTAACACCAAGAGTGCTGTGCTAGATGGATAAACAGGATGAGGTGTTTCTCCAAAGAGGAGAGACAGGGAGAAAGTGAGTTTGCTGTGAGCCTGCCTTCGAGAAACCAGGCTATAAGGATAAATGGCCAGAAAACAACACATATAAGGGAAGAACACTCTAGAAAGAGTGCCACACAACACTGTGTACTCACTGCCTCACTGTACTCACGCCAGTGTGCTTCCTGTTTATGACAGTCACCTCACCCAGGCCTGACCCACCTATAATTTTAGCCAATGCCAACGTAGTTACCTTAGAAACAGGAAGCACTCAAGTTACGTGCACTAGGAATGACTTATCAGGACCACACCTGTGCTGCTGCCTGCTTCAGAAGAAAGAGAGGCAAATTCCATTGATAGCAGATGTCACACTTCCTTCTAAAAGGATGGACTCGTGAGCAGGTGTGAGTTGGAGATGTATCTAAAAATTAATCAGAGAACCACAGGGGCTGGAAGGAACCCCTGGAAATCCCCCAATCCAAACCTGTGCTAATGCAGCTCACACAGGAAAGCATCTGAGAGGGTCTTGAATAACTCCAGAGAAGGGGACTCCACAGCCCCCCTAAGTAGCCTGTTCCAGTGCTCTGTGGCCTTCAAGTACCAGTCGTGTGTTGTGGTTGGGTTTTTTTGTTTGTTTGTTTGTCCTTCCTTAAGGTTACCTCATTTCTGTTGTAAACGCAGGCATAAGTCATAGAATCACAGAATGGCCAGGGTTGGAAGGGACCTCAAGGATCACGAAGCTCCAACCCCCTGCCACACGCAGGGCCACCAACCTCCACATTTCACAGCAGCCCAGGCTGCCCAGGGCCCCATCCAACCTGGCCTTGAACACCTCCAGGGATGGACGGGGCATCCACAGCCTCGCTGGGCAGCTGTTCCAGCACCTCACTGCTCTCATAGTACAGAACTTCCCCCTGACATCCAACCTCAATCTTCCTCCCTCAACTTCAAACCATTTCCCCTTGTCCTGCTGTTCTCTTGTGACTCCCCTCCTGTTTATAGACTCCCTGGAAGTCCTGGAAGGACTGCAATCACTCAGCCCAAACAAACCGCTGGTGCTCCACTGATAGCCAGAAATCGGGCCGTCCAAAGGGGACTGCTCAAACACACACAGCTATCCCTACCAGGGCAGCCAACTGTTGCAGCCCCGAGGCGGTGTTACTGCTGCCGGTTCTCCTTGTGCTCCCCGGGCCCGCCGAGCCATCAGCAGCGCTCCCACAGCCAACCCCGCCGAGAGGAGACGACCCAGCACCCTGCGGATGGCGCTTCTCCACAGGACCCCGCTCAGCTCGCAGGGCGGCGGGGGGAGGGCAGCCGGAACTCGGCCGGGCTGCCGCTCTGAGCACCGAACGCAGCTGAGGGAGGCGGCAACGCGCGCCAGGCCTCACACAGCGCCGCGGGCCTCACAGGCCGCGCTCCATCCGCCCGGCCCCGCACCTCCGCCGTGCCCCCCTCCAGGCTGCTGCTTTCTCCCTCTTCTCCCCCCCCATGAACGGCTCCAGTGCCCCCAGCCCAGCCCGCAGCTCTCACCTCAGAGGCAGCGGGGCCGAAGCAAGGCGGCGGGCTGCGGCCGCTCGCGCTTTTCTCCTCTGGTCTCCGCCGTTGCGCTACAAAATGGCGGACGGGGTCGCGCGCTCACGTCGCGGCCTTTCCCCTCCCCCGTCCCCTCGCGGCACGCCAGCGGGGGGTGGAGGGGGAGGGACGAGCGGAGGTTCCCGCCCCCCCGCTCGGCGTTTCGCCAATCGGAGCGCGCCGCTCCGTGCCGCCCGACCAATCAGCTCGGCTGACTCTCGCGGAGCGTTCCGCCGTCCTCCCCCCCGGCCCTCAGCGCGGAGTGAGGAACGAACTCCGATTGGTCGAAACCGGCCGGACTCCTTCCTAGCGCTCGGGCCAATGAGAGCCGGCGGGCGTCTGGGCAGGAGCATGCGCCCCGGAGATCAACAAGCGTTGGCCGCTCGGGACGGCCAATCAGCGCGAGGCAGGAAGAGGAAGTGGCGGGGAGCGCCAAAGGGCGCCCGGAGTCACGGGGAAGGGAGGGGGGGAGCAGCCCCCCCGCAGTGGTGCTAACCGCCTCCCCCTCCGCGCAGTGGTGCGGTCCTCCCGACCGCCTCCCCCCTACACGCAGCGGTGGTACGGCCCACGCGCCGCGACCTCTAGCGCCGGACTGCGGTACTACAGCTTCCTTCCCCCCCCCGCGGGTTGGTGGTGCGGTCCGTGCCGCGCGCCCCCCGCAGGCGCGCAGTGGTGTGGGCCGGGGGCCGCCATTTTGTGCGGGCCCTGAGGGGATGGGGTGAGTGGGCTGGGGGGTCTTTGGGGCTTTCCTAGTCTCAGCGGTTCCGTGATTCTGTGAGCCCTCCCGTCACGCTGGGCTGTGCCCCCCTCAGCCGGTCCTGCTGGCGTTTTGGGACCGTCTGCCCCGTGGGACCACACAGCCGTGCAGAAACCACATTGCGCCTGCCTGGGCTACTCATCACAATTCACTTTTATTGAGTCAAGGTCATCCAGGGTTGGGTTTTTTGTTTTTCTTTTTGCACTTAAAAAAAAAAATTACATAAAAAGTCTGTAAACAGCCACAGGAGTGATAAGGCAAACAGAGAAACAGCCCCGTCACCACATAACCCCAATAGCAGGGCACAATGCAAACCCACCTCCACACACAGCACCAAGGGGGACAGAAAACTGAGCAGCATCTCTGGTTGCCTGCACTGCTGTGAGGACACAAACATCCCGCAGCCCGGCTCCAGCCCACAGTGCAGTCTTGGCTGGGCCTGGTTTGTACCTGAAGACCCCACAAGGACCACAGCCCTGCTTGCCTGGGCTCTCCTTCATGCTCAGAACTGTGCTGCAGCTGCTGCAAAGCCAGTGGAGACAGCCAAGGTGCTTATCCAGGGATCTTTGCTGTTTTATGCATTTTGGGAGGGGTGGGAGAAAAGGGAAGGGAAGGGAAGATGGGAAAAGCAAGAAAAGGGGAAATGAGTGAAAGAAAGAAGGGAGGGGGAGAGGAAAGAAAGGAGAAAAGGGGAGGAAGGGAGGAGAAGGGGAAAAGGAAAAAAAGGAAAAGGAAGGAAGGGAGAGAAAGAGGAGAAAAGAGAGAGAAAGGAGAAAAGGAAAGGGGAAGAAGGGAGGGAGGGAGGAAGAGAATGGAGAGAAAAGGGAAAGAAAATGGGGGTAGGGAAAGAAGGGAAGGAGGGAGAGGGGGAAGGGAAGGAAGGAGAGAAAGAGGAAAAAGAGGGGAAGAAAGAAAGGAGGAAAAAAGGGAAGTATGGACAAGGAAGCCCGAGCCAGAAGGGGCTTGGAGACAGCCTGTGCCTGTGATGTCCTTGCTCCCACGTGCAGCACAGATGGACACAGATGCTGTGTTTAGACACAGCACCCACTAACCCCAGGCTCTGGCTCCTTCCATCTCTTGTTCTCGTTCTAGGAAAGCAGGCTGTGCATGCTCACACACACTGCACGCTTCGCATTCCCTGAAACAGCCTGATTTCTGAAGAGCCCAGCACTCTGACAGCCCTCCTCTGTTCCCATGGCGGTGATGCAAACAGGAGGTTTGCTGGAGCCTTTTCATGTGAAAAGCAGGAGGCGCAGAGGCTGGAGCTATCCTGGAAGAGACTGGAGGGACACAATACTTCACAGAGTCCCCCACAACAATTTATTTGGGCTTTCCTTCCCATTTTCTGTCTGGATTTCCCCATCTCGCCTCAGAGAGATGGGGGAAGGTGGGGAGTATTCAGATTACAGAGCAGGTTCTGGAAAGAAATGTGCATTTAGGTGAAAAGTTCTTTCCCAGAGCTGTGCCAGCACTGCCTGGGAGCTGCCGAACGTGAGAGCCAGGCTGAAGCCACCTTTTGTCAGAGCACATCCATACACCACAAGCACTGTAGGGAGAGGATGAATGACACCCAGCAAGCTGTACCACAGGCTGTCCTCCCACCCACTGCTGGCTGGTCACAGAGGGAAAGGAACATGGCAAGGACTGCATCAACGTGTCACCATTCATCTTCCCACCGCCACAGGCTGGGCCACGTCCCGTGTCTGCCAAGCACTGCTTTGAGACCATGCATGAGGATACACGAACATCAATCTTTCCCTGCCTAGGAATTTAGAAGCCAAAGACCAAGGGATCTTAAAGTCTCAACAGCAGCAGTTGGCTGCTGAGATTTAACTGCCCCAATCCTCATCTGCAGCTGGGAAAACTTCTACACCCCAAAAAAAACCACAACCAGGAAGCAGAAATGAAACTATTGGGAAAAGGCTGAGGAGGAACATCCCAGAGCAGCACCAGCCACAGCACAAATGAGAACAATAATGGCAACGATATAAAACGGATTAATACTGCCTGCTTTATCCCCAGAGCATCCCTTAAAACCTACACCTTGCCCACTCCTTGGCCATGCACTCCAGAAGAACAGGATTTGAAATCAAGAGCTTGGTTCTAGTGTAGTGTTTCCAGTAGGCAGATTCAGTTCACAGCACCTTCTCCAGTGAGTCTTCCAGCCCCAAGGCTGGGGCTGGCAATGTAAACTTTGCTCCTGAACTCTTCCCGGCCCCCCTCCCACAGATGGCAAGTTAAAATCAGGCTTCATGCGACATTCCCACTTCCTAACAGCAAGTGCAGCCTGGTCAGAGGAAAATGGGAGGGAAAACTCCTGCTAGCACTAGGATAGAACTGCAGGCTGGCAAGACGAGCCACAGGAAAGCAAACTTAAAACCAAGCACAGACACGGAAGAGGACAGAGGAGACGTCACTGTCTAAGCTCATGGGTTTAAGGTGGCGGAGGAATTGCTGTGCTCATGCACAGTAAAACTCACGTTGAGGTGATGGAAATCAGCCGGGACCCATCGGCCCTTTGCTTTCTCCCTTTCTGCAGGTGCACCATTTGTTTTATGCTCTGATCGCAGCACACTCTCACCAACTATGAATTAAAGCACGGTCTCTAGTTCCCTTTAAGCAAGACACACTGCCTCCCTCTAATGCTATGACTTCAAGCTGTGAAAGTGCTGGAAAGAAGCTCCCCCAACACTGAGGGAAGCAGTGTGCTTTCCTGTGCAAACCCCAACGGGATCCCTTAGTGAAGCCCACCCCAGAGGGGCAGGAAGGATTTGACCTGGATGTCAGCACGGAGTGAGTGGGGTTCTCCTCCGTCACCAGGGAGTCAGGACTGAGAAGGCAAGCCTGACTGCCTGGTGTGTTAAGACAACAAGACACAAGTCCCTGCAGGGCTCTTCCAGCAAAGCCCTGCGTTTCAACACTCCTCTTGGACGTTCCCAGTATGCTAAAATGTTTTCTCCCTGCTCCCCCTCAGTCTGATGGGAAATCTACTTCCCCTCAGCAGCAGCAGGGTCCTGCCTGGAGGAGGGGTCAGGCTGCGAGATCCACGAAGATGGCGTTGGCAGTGGTCTGTCCGAAGATGAAGGCTCCTAGGGTGACCATGAATACCCCGTAGCCGACCTGGGCCCACCAGCTGCAGATGCAAAAGGATGGGATGCACTTAGAGGGGACATTTATGCCCAAATCTCACAGGGAAAGCAGGGAGAGGGGAAGCTCGTTACCTGACTGCTCTGGTTTCTTGGATCTCGGAGAGTTTGGCTTGAATCAGGCAGAGCCCTGAGAGGGACAGGAGGCACATTAAACCCAGACAAGGACTGAGCAGACGCCCTGCAGACCAGGGAGCTGAACTGAGCCCCACTGAGGCAAGGGCAGCATGGACACGTCCTCTCCTGTTTCTCTTTGCCTGCTTCCAGCCCACAGGGGATGTGCTACAGCCCAACCCCAGCCACCTCCCAGCCTGCTCTGGAAAGGGGCAGAGCATGCTGCTGCCTGATGAGATAAGCCTTCCTCCTGCCCGTTCTCACCCAGCCCGCTGCTTCTCCCAACTCCCAGTTCTGGAGTAGAGACAGCAGTCAAAACCAGTTGGACCTCTTTCTCTAAAGGTCTCCTAGCTGCTACGTTCCCATCCCACCCCGTCCCTCTTTGCAATACAAGGCCACAAGGCCCTCCACCGACCACGGAAGTACCTGGGAAGACAAAGATGAAGCAGGCGGCCAAGCCTCCGATGACAGAGATGACTTTGCCAATATCAGGGATGAACAGAGCCAGGAGGAGAGTCAGGAGGAACCAACTAATGGTCTGCAGCAGGCGTCTCCTCCGCTCCCGAACCACGTCCTCCTCCACCGTCACTCCGGTGTAGCGGAGCCAGAGGCCTTCCAGAACAGCCCTGTGGGCACAGAGCCACGGGAAGGAAGGAGGGTTCCCAGCAGCGCCCCCCTGCCCGCGCCAGCCCCGCTGCCTCTCCTCACTCACCGGCCACAGAAGTGCAGGATGGGGTAGGATGTCAGCACGCACAGGATGATGAAGGCCCGAGCAAGGGCGACGGGGATGTCATTGGAGGGGTAGGAAAGCAGCACATCCTGGTCCACGCTGGCCCCAAAGGTCAGGAAGCCACAGACACCTGCCAGGGAAGGGCACGCTCAGCAGGGCTCAGGGCAAGACCCTCTGGATGCGTGTTCAAGGTCCCTCTGCTGAGCAGAGCGTCTGTCCCCAGGAGCTCACAGCTCCTCCAAGGACCACGCAAGCCACCATGGGGTCCCCTTGCTTACCAGTGCCGGTGTAGACAAAGAGAGCGATCACCATGGCTGCTGTCACCACTGCTCCCCACGTCTTCACCTCTGGCTGCTTCATGCTGTTAAAGACGGGCACGCTGCTCACGTGGCACTGCCAGAGACATGAAAAGAGCCAGGGAACACGTTATGGGATGAGCCGGAGCAGCAGGGAGATGCACAGGACCCCGTGTGCTGCTCAAAGCTACCTGGAATCCAAAGCAGATGGTGGGCATGGCGTTGAACACGGCCATCCAGGTGGAGGGGCTGGGGAGAGAAACGGCCACCGGTCAGAGCAGGGGCATGTGGGAACTGCTGGTTCCTCTGCTGACCTGTCCACACCTCAGCCACCAATTGCTCCCACCTGGGACAGAGCTTTTGCATGGATAAAGGTTTTCCTGGGATCAAAAATAAAAGAACTGCTAAAAAATAAATATAAGGATCCATTTGGGTAGTGAAAAAAACTGATCTTAACTCTGCTCTGCCCTCAAATGCCTGGAGCAGCCGTGCCTGCCCACCCCGGGTCCAGAAATAGTCCCATACTGTGAACGAAAGGAAAGTCACACGGGCAAAGGAAATAACCAAAAATCACCCAAAGGAGACCCAGATCTCTCCTTTCTGGGGTTTGATGCAGCTGTAGCAGAGCTAAAGGTGAATTGCTCTCCTCAAATCCTGCACTGGAGGACTGGAAATCCAGCTGAGCCCATCAGCATCACATCTCTCGCACGCACCTGGTAGGAATCTCCACAGGCACAAGCTCCTTGTCAGGCCAGATGTACTTGATGATGATGACTGCGGTGACATACCATGTGCCAATCACACTCAGAGAGCTGCGGGGGGGGACAGCAAGCCATCAGCATCCTGCCTCCCAGCTCCAAGGATGTCTGAGGGTCTCCTCCCACCATTTCCAGCCCCATCCCTCTGCCTGCACAGCCTGGGCCATCCCGACCCCTCCAACCTGGACGATCCCCGCTCTTCTCTTCCCCCAAGGAAGACACCAGGTGCTGTCACCCACTGTCCCCAGACCACCCCCCAGTCCTGCAGGGCTCTCTTACCCACCTGGCGTACTTCTGGAAGCCGATCTCCTTGGGGATGGAGAGGGGTAGGATGAGGAGGAAGGCAGTGATGCTGATGGTGAACTTGCGGTCCGTGTACCAGCGGCTGCTTCCCGCTTCCTCAGGCTCTGTCACCAGAGCAGCAATGACTGTGGGCACAGATAGGTCACAGAATCACAGAGCCATTTCGGTTGGAAAAGACCTCTCAGATCCAACCCCTATCCATCCCCTCCAGCCGCGCTGCTCAGCGCCACGTCCACCCAAAGGATCACGTCCTTTCCCCTTTCCAGAAGGAGGGATGCGACCCACTGCTCCTTGGGGCACTCACTCTTGTCCTCTTGGTCTCCGATGATGATGAGGAAAGCGATGCAGGTGCCAAAGGTGTAAACGGCGATGGCCACCTCACACAGCACACCTGGCACCTTCCCACACACCGCCCACACCACCTCTTGGTACGTCCGTTCATTGCTGGCCTGCGAGCAGTACGCCAGGATCACCAGTCCTCCGATGATGAAGATCAGCATGCACTGGGGTAAGGGAGACACAAGGAGGGGACAAAGTGAGGCAGCAGCAAGCCAACGTTCCCAGATCCACCCCAAAACGCGTACAGCATCCCTGCTGCCCCTCAGAGGTCTGAACCTCTGCTTCACCTGGCCGGCTTCCACCCAGGATCTCCTCCTCCCCACGGCCCCTGCATGGAGCTCCACATCCCCCCCAGCCCCTCCAGACGTGGGACGACTGCTGTCCCCCCCCAGCTCTCACCATCTGCAGCGCAATCCCCGCAGCCACGCCGCCAGCCATGTTGAAGGCAGCGGGGAAGTTGAGCAGCCCGGCCCCAAGAGCAGCATTCACCACGATGAACACCGCGCCCAGCGCCGACGTGGCCCCGGCTCCGTTCCCTTGGCTCTCCTCGCTCTTCGGCACCGCTTCCACGCTGGGGCTCTGCAGGAGCCTGGCCCGTTCCCCGGCATCGGCGCTCCACTCCCAGTCCCTGTAGTCAGTGTTGATGCTCCCGGCGGCCTGAGCCATCCTCCTGCCGGCAGGGCCCGCTCCTCCCAGCCGTGCGTCCTGCTAGCGCTCCCGCACCGGGGTCGGCCGAATGCCGCGGGGCACCATCGGTTCCATCGGGTTTGGCGACAGCGAACAGCCAGGCTGTCGCCGCTACAAAGGGCAGCAGGAGAACGCGAGGCTGCCGAGGATCCTCCAGCACCCCTGCAGCCTCTGTTAGAGAGAGACAGCGGGGTAGGGCACGAGGACAGCCAGCGCCCCACGGCACGGGGACGCTCCGGGGAAGGAGAGCTCACCTCCGCCTCGCTGGGTTCACGGGACGCGCATCGCTGCGGGCACGAGCCCTGCTGAGCGTCCTGAATTCCGGCCCCAATTTCTGCAAGCTCTGCAGAAGCTGCCACCCACGTGCTGCGGGGTAAAGGTCAGGGCCCGGCTCAGCGAGACCCGCAACGACCACCGCAGCGCGCGTCCGGCGCGGGGCGGCATCGCTGCGGGAACGGCCGCGCGGCGCCCCCGGGCAGCGCCCCGTCCCCGCGCACGGCCACGCAGCACGGACGGAGGCCGGCGGGGCTCGGGGGGGAACCCGCACGGCCCAGGGGAACCTCCGGGCCTCCCGCCCGGATCGCGTTTAACCCGGCGGCACGACGGGCGGCCCCCGCGCCCAGGCTGCACCCTAAGGGCGCCCCCCGCCACCCCAGACCCAACGGGACCCCCCCGCTCACCCGGGCGGGGCGATCTCTCTCTCTCTCTCTGCGGTCCGGAGCCGCCTCCCGCGGCCGTGTCCACGCCCGTCCCTCCCCCCGCCGGGGCCGCCCCGCTTTCTCTCCCCGCCCCGCCGTTCACCGCAACCGCGCCGGCGCCGCACGCCCAGCGCTACGCCCCCCGAGCGGCTCCGGATCGGATTGAAAATCAGAGCGGAGCAATGAACGCAGTGAGCGCCCCAGGCCGCGGATGGGACCCGGGCAGCCCGAACTGGGGACGGCCAGCCTGCGGCAGGGCTCGGGGCTGGGTGAGCTTTGAGGTCCCTCCCAACTTCAGCCATTCTCTGACGTGCAGAGCAGCCCGTACTCTCCCCTGCAAAAGGAGAGGATGGTTTGTGCACGGCCAGCTCTCAGACCGCCCTTGGGATCCTTCCCTCCTGCACTTAGCATCTCCAGCCCTTGGGATGAAGGGAGGATGAGGTGGATGCCACTGCATCCCCAGGTCAGGCTGGACACAGCCCAGCTCATCTGGGCTCACAGGGCTGCTGGGATGGGGGTACAGGGGTTGGGGAGACACACAGAGCCACAGAGCAGTTTTCAGAAGTTCTTATTGAGGGGCAAGAAATCTTTCGACCTCAGAGCATGGGAGCAGAGATTGAGAGCAGTGACAGGAGTCTGCCACACACACACACCAATGCCACTGTGAATGACACCTGAAAGAGTCCCAGATGGAAACAACAAAGCCCACAACGGAGCACATTTTAGTAGTGACGAGTCCTCAGAGCCTTTACACTCTTTCTAAGATGGCAGCTTCAGCGCTGCCTACCTCCGGGCTAAGCCCAAGTCCAGCAGCAGAGGGTGGAGGAGGACAGAACCTGCAGGCAGCAGGGTTAGGCTGAGTGTGGGTCACCAGATGAACCCAAACATCCCCCCTCCCAGCCCACCCTGCACCCTGCCTGCTGCTGTTAGGGTGAGCAGCCTGGTAAAGCCTTCTCGTGGAGAAACAAGCACAGGGACACCTTTGGTGCGTACACTGGCAGGACGCAGAGCAGTGACCTCCCACTCCTTCCAGTGCAGATGGGTGTTGGGGCTGACGGACAAAGGGCAAGCAGCAGGAGATAATGGCGATGACGACAGGGAGCCAGCAATCATGTCCTTGCTCCACAACGTGGCGCAATTTGGACTAGAGGCTTCTACAACAACTCATCTACAAGATACATTCAGCAGCGGCACTAAGTGCTGTGGTTGGAAGCGTTCTCCTTCCTCCCTTTCCCTCCCCTTCTCTGACTGATGGGGAAAGGCCAGCAGCTCCAGAGCAGGCCTCTGTCTTTACTTTGTGACTTGATGGATGGCATGAGCCAGGTAGCCCACATTGCTTGATGCAACTCCTGCTACGGAGATTCGGCCGTCCTTCGTCATATAGATGGAGAACTCCTTTGTCAGCCGCTCCACCTGGGACGAAAGAGCAGAGTTCAAATTAAAGCCCCATCTCTATTCTGTTGTGGAGCGTGAATTTATACAGCTTGCTAGAATCGAACATAAGCTGGGTGCCAGCAGAGCCATCATCCAACCACCTGCGGAGCTCTGGGAAAGCAAGAGCTGCTGCTCAGCTCTCGGGCAACGTGCAAACCCTGCAGATGTTCAGCCAGGGTCACCTCAGAGCAGCACCAAGCGACTGCCAGATAAGCAGGATACATTTGCTTTCAACCTCCACAAGAACATCAGGAAGCAGAGCCAGACATGAGCCCCCCACGGTACTCCAGTTCTGCAGGCGGGGAAGATGCTCCTCTCTGAGAAGACCTGCCCCCGTGGGCTCATTCTGGCACCAGCACTCTGTATCTTTCTGGCAAGCATCACAAACAACACCTCGAGACCAGAGGAACCATGTTTACCTGCTCAGGCTTCAGCCCCGTGAAGCAAAACATGCCAATCTGGTCAGTGATGTGCTGCCAGTTGTGGGAAGATCCCTCTTTCTTGAGGTTGGACACCAGCTGAGTCCTCATGCTGATGATCCGGTCGGCCATGCCCTTCACCTCCACCAGCCTGACAAGTCAACCCAGTTACTGCTCAGAGCACAGCAGGGATGTGCCAACACAACTCCCTCCCCAGCTACCCAGAAAGCAATCTGTCTCCAACTGCAGGAGCCCTGCACCCCAAAAGCACCGGGTGTGCCATCAGTCATGGTCCATAGCCAACCACGGAACGGACACACAGCCATACCCACAGTTGAGAAAAGCCCACGCACTGTGAACCTCTTGCTCTGGCTGGACGACTACTTATTCGTTCCACTGCTGTTGGATGCCATTACCAGAGTCTCGGCAGCTCTCGCTTCTGAAAGATCTAGGAGAGCTGGGGGCTCCGGGCAGCACTGCCCAAAGCCCACATAAAATAGTATCTGGGGAGAACTAAGGGCACCCCCCAGTGCAGGCAGGCAGCCTCTGCTCCAATGCAGTGCAGCTAGGAGACATCTCTGCTGGATCATGCAAGGTGCCAGCCTGCCAAAGCAGTGTGGCCACAACACACAGCCAGCCTTTGTTCTGCACAGCCAGCTGCTGGAGCAGCACGGGCTGGCACCAGGAAAGAGGCTTAGGGCACCAGGGTGACATTCCTGTGTTTTAATTCCCAAGGGGCTTAAGCTTCTACTTCCCCTGATGTGAAACACAGCCGCAATGCCTCAGTTGGTTTTCTTTTGCACTCCTTTGACTAGCAGCTCCAGCAGCCTTCAACCCTAGGGAAGCTTTATCCTCCCCCCCACCCCCGAGTGTTTTCTGCCTCAGTAGCGCAAGGAAAACCCTTACATGCCAGGCCAGACTGATACTAGCTGGAGCAATCAGATCTGGGTGGGGATTTCCCTAGAGGAAAGCAGTAGCACGCGGCTTTGGCTGCAGCCTGAAGTAAGGGCTGCCCGCAGTGCAGCAAGCACAGCACAGGGCTACCACAGGGAGACGCCGCCTTGCTGCCGCGAGCTTCAGGAGCCCCTTCTTACCACTCCTTCCGTAGGTCAGGGGTGGTCAGGATGAGGGAGGCGATGCGGGCTCCGTTTATGGGTGGGTTGGAGTACATGGGACGGATGAGGATCTTCAGCTGTGATTCAACCCTCTTGGCTTCCTCTGCATCACGGCAGATCACCGTGAAGGCGCCCGCACGCTCTCCTGAAACACAGGCTGTCAGCTCCCAGCTTCTGCTCAAGGATGCCCAGGGCTGGGGCAGGACTCCTCCACGGAAAGACCTCCACCAGCTCCCAAGGGCTGCCTCCTGCGCTCTGTTCAATGCTGCAGGCTGGGCGCAGGCAGCAGTTGGAACTGAGAGGACGCGAAGCATCTCCACCAGGACACCCACCCCTAATCCGGAGAGATCTTCCACCCCAGCCACCCAACTCACCGTACAGCCCCATGTTCTTGGCGTAGGACTGGGACAGCACGACGTCGATGCCCTGCTCAATGAAGTGCCGCACAGCCCAGGCGTCCCTGTTGATGTCCCCGCTGGCAAAGCCCTGGTAGGCCATGTCAAAGTACGCGAGGAGGTTCCGTTTCTGCCAGCAAAGAAGCAACAGTGTGACTGAGTACCCAGATGAACCTTGCAAGGAGACACCAGGCACGTGAAACATCTTCCTGCATTTTTAATATGTGAGAACTGGGAGACTCCTCTTGAACTATCACCGCTCACTTTCTCACAGCTCTCTTCACAGAGCTGCTTCCCCCACCTTCCCAAAAGGTGCCAGCAGAAAGCCTGCTGCTCAGACAGGAGCTTTATGGGTGCCTCTGTCTGGCTCCTGCCTTCAGCACAGGAACTCCAGCCTGTAACTCGGTGACGACCAGACGTTACCCATTAAAGTACAGAGATGTGGCTTTCCTGTGAAATGCACAGCATCCCCAGGACACCCTCATGCCCACCTTCACCACGGATGCCAACTCCTTCCATTGCTCCTGCCGGGGATCCACTCCAGTGGGGTTGTGAGCACATGCGTGCAAGAGGATGATGCTCTTCTCTGGAATTTTCTAAGACAGACATTACAAGGAGTGATTAACAACATCTGAGCACTCTCCTCAGCCGCTGAAGTGAGACTGTTGCCCCAAGATGGTTTAGATGAGCAATGCAGAGCCACAACTCAGTGTCATCGGGCTCCTCACCACGTTTAGGTGAACAAAAGAAGCTCGCCCTTCTCCCCACATCACCTCCCTGCATCCAGGCGTGGAAAGCAACTCACAGAAATGTCCTCCATGGCACCTGTGAAGTCCAGGCTACACGTTTTGGGGTCGTAGTAGCGGTAAGCCTGAAGCTGCAGGCCAGCATCACGGAAGATGGGTGTGTGGTTGCCCCAGGACGGTTTGGGTAGATACACATCACGGCTAAACTTGAAGAACCGTTGCTGACGAAGAAAAAGACACCGTGTTCAAACAGACTGGCCAGATTCGAGCAGACAGAGAAAACCAAAGATTAAGCTCTTGTCAAAGGAGGTTCCTTCCTTCTCCACCCAGCCACTCACCAAGAAATTGGCTCCAATTCGCAGAGATCCAGTCCCAGAAATACCTTGCACAGTAACGTACTGCAAGGGAAAAAGAACACAAGGCTGTAAGCGGATGCAGTAGGATACAGGGAGCAGCCCAACCAACAGCAGCATTAGCAGCTGCACAGCCCTGCGGCTGCACACCCGAACAGGGACACGGGGCTGGAGGGGCAGGCAGCAGCAACTCCTGTTGCAGTGCAGGGAGTTGGACCTGTGGCAAGGTTCTGACCCCACCTTGGGAAGGGCTGCTTGCTAGGAAGCAGTTATCCTGGGGTGAGCCAGGATGTTGGATGTTAGGGGGAAGTTCTTCACAAGGAGAGTGGTTAGGCCCTGGAACGGGCTGCCCAGGGAGGTTGTGGATGCCCCGTCCTTGGACGTGTTCAAGGCCAGGTTGGACGGGGTCCTGGGCAACCTGATCTGAATGTGTGTGTTTGGTGGCCCTGCTAGGCAGGGGGGTTGGAACTACATGATCCTTGAGGTCCCTTCCAACCCGGGTGATTCTGTGAGCCAGCCAGCAGCTCTGCTGGGACCCACACCAGCCTTTCTGCTTCTGCCGGGTGCCCACGCAGCGACCACACGTCTCAGTGCTGCCCACCCACCGCTCCCCAGCCCGC